GCCTTCTGACACACTTCCGGTGATGTCAGGGGGTGTGGCATATGCAAATAAGTTATGCTAATAAGTTATGCTAATGAGCTCCTGCACCTCTTTTTCTGCAAAATGACCCCTGCTGAGAAGGCAACATCTGTAGCAGAAACAAGGACTTCAGCTCAGCCCCATCACTCTGCTCTTCCTTGAGGGGTAGGGCCGTGGCTCAGTGGGAGAGCATCTCAGGGTTGCCAGCCTTTAGGTGGTGGCTGGAGATGTCCTGGGACAAGATGCAGCCAAATGGCACATCTGGCTGGCGCAGCATTTGGAACACCACTTGGAGAGATCATCTAGGCCTATGGAGTCTCAGATTCAAACCTTCACTTGACCATGATGCTGGGCCAATATTTTTTCCCCTCAGCCTAACTTATGAAAATAAAAGGGAAGAACCATAGACAACATGCTGAGCTATGGGAGGAAGGAGGAGATTAAACTGTTACGTGATTCAATGTAATTTCATTTTATATAAAAGACTGGTACAGAACTCATTCAGGGGTGCAACATGCAGCTTTCTCAGACAGCATGTGATTCTGCTGTGTGTTTACATCAGGGATAATTAAATGATCCCCTTATACCTGAAGCAGGGATGCCCACAATGGAGACTGATGGAAAAGAGGAAGGTACAGAGACATTAGTCATACAGAGACACAACAGGCACTTCCTGAGTGAGGGAAGGAGCCTGGGTTAAGTAGTTATCTCTTGTGGCATGCTAGGGCTTTCCCTTACTTACCCCCAGGGCCATTGGTTCACCCCTATACAAATTCTTCAGTGGCCGTGACACAGAAGGCCGTATGATGCTGTTTGAGATGGACTCCAGTGTCGCTGGGTTGTTTAGGTCCATAGCAGCTGGTGAGAAAGTTATGATGGGAATTAGGGTCTGGAACAGATGCTTGGATTCAGAAGAGCTGAAGGAGAGGGAGAAATGGAGGGGAGAGAAATTAGAGCAAATATTTTCAAGTTGGATCCACTTCTTGTATCGGGAGTCACAGCTCTAGGACAGGGACCCGGGTGACCTGATGTCAGTTCTCGGGAATGTGCTGGGAGGCCCTTCGCCGTTTTGATCTCGCACCTAACAAGCTACCCTGTCTCTGCATTATCTGCTTTCCTGACCTTGGGATGCTTTCGCTGCAATTACGTTGCTGGGAACTAACAGCTCTGCTTTTTGCACGCTTATTTTTGGACACTTAATTTCCCCGCGCGCAGGGGCTCTCTTTATTGGCTTTTGCTCTTCCAAGGTGTGTTTTGAATGTAGTATAAGTCGGGATGTCTGGCCGTTCTCAGGAGAGCAGTACACGTGTCATAGTCCTGGACAGGGCTTTTTTGGGTAGAAAAAGACCAGCAGGAACTCGTTAGCATAATAGGCCACACCCAACAGCAGAAACGTATGAGCATATTAGGCCACACCCCTGACAGCACAGCTCATTAGCTTATTAGGCCACACCCCCATGTTACTAGAAGTGTGGACATCCAGCCACACCCACCTTTTGCTTCTTATTCTGTTTACCTTGTTTGTTGTCAAAACCCAGGGCTTTTTTTGTAGCAGGAACTCCTTTGCATGTTAGGCCACACACCCCTAATGTAGCCAATCCTAATGGGTTTCTGCTGTTGGGTGTGGTCTATTATGCTCATGAGTTCCTGCTGGGCGTGGCCAACTCAGGAGCCAGCCGGAACTCCGTTCCTGTGCGTCCCTGCCCCAAAATAGCCCTGGTCCTGGAAAAGCAATAAACAGAATTCTTCTTATGAAGCGCTGTGTTGTGTGACCTGACTATCAAACCCTGACACCTGGGGTCACTGGGCTAGCAGGCAGGTGAGAAGGGAGTCTGGCAGCCACAGAGAGGACATATTTTTGTTAATTAATCTGGCCTAAATAGCAGTTGCTCAGCACAGTTACGAGTTCTGTCTGGAATCCTCGTTGCATCCCTAAGCATGCCTTCCTCCCCGCAACCCCTTTTTTCTACTCTGTGCGTAATACCAGGAAGTTGAGAGCTGGTACAGTGCACGAGACACCATGACACACCCTGGCACTCCGTGTTAATGAGTGGGTGGTCCCACAGGCAGAATCCTTCATTTAACAAGGATGTGCTGGAAAAATAGACACCCCCTGGAGGTTTGGGGGTGGAGCCTGGGGAGGGTGTGCTTTGGGGAGGGGGCCTCTGTGGAGTGTAAGGCCGTAGATTTCACTCTCTGTTTTCTCCAGAGGAACTGATCTCTGTAGTCTGGAGATCAGTTGTAATTCCAGGAGAACTCCAGGCCCCTGCTGGAGATTGGTAGCCCTTGATAAAGCCCTTATTTTTTCATTTTCCTGGTTGTGGCCACCACCTCTAAGGGGCGTGTTTGTTCACCCAACAGCTTTACCCCCACCACCACCGATGTTCCCTCTAAGCTCCACAGTGGTGTGAGCAAAAATTCTACCTCGTGAATGAAAAGGGCTAGTAGCATTAAAGTTGTGAGGGAGCCTGTATTATGGTAAAGGTAAAGGTAAAGGTTCCCTTGCTCGAAAGCCAGTCGAATCCAACTCCAGGGTTGCGGTGCTCATCTCCGTTTCCGTGGTCATGTTACCTTCCCACTGAAGTGGTACCTATTTATCTACTTGCTTTCGAACCGCTAGGTTAGTTGTTTAGATTATTTCCATAACCTTGCAAAAATCTCAGCATGAATTATTTAAAACTGTATTTAAACTACCTTTTATGAATAATCTAAACGTTATAAGAGAACACAGAATCAAGTCAAATTTCATTATGGAAAATGTTGTCCTCGATGGGGGTAGATCAGGCCTCTGGAGAACGGGTCTTCCTGCCCCTTTTCACTCTATTGGTAGGCCTGGATTCTGGAGAACAGGTCTACCCACCCCAAGGCAGTATATTGGTAGACCTGGCCTCAGACTGTCGCCCTGCGCTGAGCCTTAGAAAACATACCAGCACTTTGGGGGGTGGGGGACACACAGTCTACTT